AAGAAAAATGATGGATAACTTAGAAGATAGCATGAAGAGAGGTAGGTATTCTACCGAATTAGATAGAGATACTGGTCAGCATGAGATTAATAGGAAAGGTCAAGAAATACACGCAAAATATAGAGAGCAGTATATAAAAATATTTGAGGAACAAAAATACAAGCTAGAGGATATCAAAAAACAATTAAGAGATTTAGGAATAGCAGATGACGTAAAGGAATACACTAAGTTTAAAAAATATAACAGAGAAGTGATGAATACAGCTGAGGCTGTATTGTTCAGGTGGGATGACTTTCGCTATTATTCTATTATTGATGTATTTAAAAAATGTAAAAAATTTGATGAATCTTCTTTTACAAATTATATCTGCATACAGAGTGGAGGGGGAGAAGGGGGTGCAGGTTATGCCGGGAATGATGATGATCTTAAGAAGAGGTTATCAAAGTATAATTATCTTAAAGAAAAGTTAGGAGAAATATATTTAATTAATAACGAACGAGAAAGAGAAAACAAAGCGCAAGTATTATTAAAAGAAATAATGAGTGTTCATTTTGCACATATCGATGAAGATTATAACGTAAGATATGGTAGCTCTATACCTATATCTGCACTGAAAGCCCTATTGCCATATAAAGGCTTATTATTAGAAATACTAGAAGCACAAAAGCACTTTGAAGTAAAAAAAGTAGATAATATTACAGGGAAATTAATCCCAGATGAGAAGTATCAATCACTTAATAGTAATGCAGATATAGCAATATTTATCCAGTTGTTAAAAGAGTACAAAGATTTTGGAGTAAAAGAAAATGACTAAAAACGAAGTAATTAATCAAGAATATAGTTTGCTAATCAAAGACCTTAAAAAGCGTGTAGCGGAGTCACGTTATAAAGCTAGTTTAAGTGTAAATAAGGAGATGATATTACTTTATCACCATATAGGACAAAAGATTCTTGAGAGCCAAGAAAAACATGGTTGGGGTGCAAAAGTAATAGAACAATTATCTAAAGACTTACGATCTTCCTTCCCAGGGATGAAGGGGTTTAGTGCACAGAATCTTAAATATATGAAAAAATTTGCACAAGAATATCCAGACAAACAAATTAGTCAACGACTTGTTGACCAAATTCCATGGGGACATAATGTAGAGCTGATGTACTCAGTAAAAAATAAAGAAGAAAGAGGGTTTTATATCAAAAAAACAATAAAGCATGGTTGGTCTAGGAATGTATTAGTTTTGCAAATAGAAAGCAATTTATATAAAAGACAAGGAGAAGCGATAACTAATTTTGATGCTAAATTACCAAATTTACAGTCTGATCTTGCTCAAAACATGATGAAAGACCCATATTGCTTTGAGTTCCTCAACGTAACTGACGATGCTCAGAAAGAGAGA